TAGGGTTGTCCGGCACAGAACTAAGCAGTCTCTTCGTTCTTGCTCCGGATTGTGGCATTAGAGGTCATAGCCTTAAGGAGCGACGAGAGCACTCCAGGTTGGAGTTGAGGGCCGCGTTCTTCACTGCTCGCCTTTGTGGAACAGACTACCGGAGAATGGAATGAGCTGCTCAACAGTGGTGGCCTTTAAAAAGGCCTTGGATCTGTGCTGGGACGTGGTATTTCCGGAGCTGGCTACTTGATATGCGATGAGGGAATAAGATGAGTTCGTTCCTGTATCTATGTATTTCATTTATACATATCTGGTGGATGTGATACTGCATCTAAACATTTTACCTTTCAGAAACGAAAAAAAGAGCGAACGTTTGACGACCAGTGTTGAAAGCCAAGGAAACTACCTGACAACACAACAATCTGGATGAACGACTGATCTCGACCAATTCCGTCCTATGCAAACTGAACTGAACTGAACAAACCTCAACTGCAGTGCACGCGATATCGAAGATTATTGTGAACGCATTGAGATTCGAAGGCTGACTCGTTCAAAGCTCGATGAGGAAAAGAAATCCGCTTTCTTTTTGAATGCTGCCGGTAAAAAAGCTTACACACTAATCAAAAGCTTGGCTTATCCTCATCCACCTGTTTTTGTACCGTTCGAAGATTTAAAGTATGGTGCCTTGGGACCGACAGTGTAACAAGCTCGAGAGTTGTCACCACCTTTGTCTGCCTGTTCCGCAATGTATGCTTTCGCATGGTTGCAGGCATTGGTTGCTTGGAGCATTCGCTCGTTCATCCTTCTTTGTAGAATAGTTTCCGCCAGGGTCTTCGATATCCTGAGACCGCTTCATCACCTAGGTCATTCATCTTTGTTTAAGTCACTGCCGCCGCCAGTGAAGTAACTTCACTTTTAACGGTGCGTGAGTTCAGAGCTACACCTTCTCTCGCTAAGCACTTTTCGCTTTCAGACACTCTCGAGCATAGTCAGACTAAAACTCCGGTGCTTCAGGGAACAATATACTTTCCCTCGACTAACCGGGTGTTCTTCCTGATTCATACCGGGTGATCGAGAAACACGGTTGAATTAGAGATCGGATCGTTGTCGCAGGTCGCGTAATTACATCCGCCTATCTCTAAACTGGTGAGCCCTTTCCACTTTCTTGGTTATTGGTACGTTTTTACTAATTTTCGTTTCTAATAACCACCCGTGTTTTACTTTTCTCGATTTAGATACACATTTCGTTGCGCTACGTAGGGTGTAATTAATTTATTTCTAGAGAATAATTTTTCGTTTTGCTGCATTTGGATATTTTCACGAAATTACTGCTACTGTTCTGTTTTTGACTGTGGTTAGTCAGCCATATTCGAAATCATAACTGAATCAAAGAAGGTCACCTTTAATAAGCCTCATCGGGTAGTTCTAAACGCGGTTAATTTCACTTGTCCGCCTGTTTACCATAAAAACTCCTCCGTGTGGTTTTCCGTGGTTGATACTCATTTCTGGACTCGAGGAATTACTCAGTCCCATTCCAAATTTCATCACGTGTTGCAAGCTCTACCCTCAGATGTTGCAGAACTTGTGTTTGACGTCATCAATCCCGTCCCAGAGGAGCGTCCCTACGAGACGCTGTCTTAACACGTACCGACTTGTCTACCCAGGAAAAAAATAGGAAGATAGTCCAGGGAAGGACCATGGGCTCTGTTAAGCCTTCCCAACTATTGCGCAACATGCAGCGAGAGTTCGCCGTTTTTAACGTCGACGAAAATTTGCTTCGTGAACTTTAAGTTCAGAAGCTACCGAAGGCTGTATTCATGGTCCTGGCACCATGCGCTGGTTGTCCCCTCAGCGTCCCGGCCGAAGTAGCTATGACGTTCTATTCTCAGGGAACCTCCCTTAATTGTTCTACCCTAGTCAAAACACCCGATCAGTCAAGCGCCATTTCCATGCAACTGGCCGCTATTTCGGCTCGGATAGATAGATTAGAAAAGGCCAACTCACAGCCTCATCAACCATCCCACCGGCCCCGATGCCGGTCACGTGGCAGCTCTAGGCGCTCGGCCTCACCCCGCAGACCTTTGTGTTGGTACCACCACAAATGGGGTGCCCAAGCACGTCGGTGTATTGCCCCGTACNCCCCGTGCCAGTGGTCGGGGTCCAGTAAGCAATGAAAAGAAATGGCCAACGAGTAGGAGCGGCACTACCCGTTGGCCCCAAACCCGGTATACTCTTTCCTGTACAATATGGGCTTACCGGGGCTTAATTTTTAGTGGATACGGATGCCGACGTTAGTGTTGTCCCGCCAACGACTACGGAATCCCTGTCACCCCAACCTTCCCCTGTTTTGTCAGCCGCTAATGGATCCCCTATCAGGACCTACGGTAGTAGACAGCTCACGGTAGACTTTCGCCTACCCCAATTAACCACTTGGGACTTCATCGTTGCTGATGTTCTATTCCCTATTCTTGGAATGGATTTCCTCCAGCATTTCGATATA